AATCACGTGTCTATCTCAGACATCGTGTATATAGACCTTTTCCTTTTGTCTATTTCTACTTTAATATGTTAAGCCACTTTTACCACACTCCGTATGCCCATTGCTGCGTGCCATAACTCGTGACAGTATGGTACTGTTTGCGAGGTCGGTTGCGTGGGATGACCCGCCCAAGGGCCGCGAATGCGTTGTCTATGTCGCTTGGTAGGCGCGGTAGGCCGTTTGATCGGCGAGGGCGCTTCAAAGGTCTGGCTGCCATGTCGGGTTATCATCGAAATGGGTGGAGTGCCGACGTGTTGCTGAGCGAGGTGCGTGACATGGATCATTGTATTTGAGGGCAGACACTGCGTTTGCTGAACGCGAAACTGAACCAGATGTAGACGAGGTATGGTTTTCGTAAGTCCTGGCAAGGTTGACCGACCCATACTGGGCTGCTTCAGTCGTCAACATGATGTGCGAAGAACCAGAGCTTTCACGGGTGGGCGAGTCAGCAAACGATCTCGTCTCGATGCAGCACACTTATGAATGGATGCCGTGTGTATGTACTGTACAGCACAGTTATGAAGTTTGAGACTCCTCTACGGCTCCATCGTCATTGCATATGCTGTGCAAAAACGGTCATTAATGCCAAATGCTGACGGACGAGCCGTTGGTGGCTTCTGCAAAATTCGGTTGCGTAGAACTTCGCTTCTCGGAAGACAGTCACGGATGTCGACACAGGCTTACACGTACGGAGAGCACAATGTGCCTTGTCCAGAAACAAAGGCAGTCTAGAGCCCTGATGCTGTCGATACAAATCTCGTCATTGGCGGTGGCATGAGCTGGTCTACCGAATCACCACAGACGCGCTGGAGAAGACCATGTATTCCATGTGGTGGGAGGCGCACTATCACATTGCCACAGGAGCTTCCTGCTAATGGGTGTCAGGACCAACCTGCTTCGACAAGATGAGCGATGCTGCCTCGCCATCTGCCTGGCGGTCAATTGCCCAACAACGGGCTGACCTACAACACGTGGTACCCGCCGCTGAACAGAGTCAAAGAAGATATGAACAGCACCGCGGGAGATCGGTTCATCGCCTACATCATAAGCTGCCTGTGTGGGCCACTACAAGGCAAAGAGTTCATCGTCAAGGTCGCCGCGCTCCTGGCGTGCCAGAAAGTCCGCGAAGCGCCCGAGGAATGTGACGACGGCCTGTCGGACAACAGTACCAACTTGTTGTTCGAGTTTGACAAGGCACTGAACTTTAACTTTGGAAACATGCTCATCACCATCAAAGAGCTCGAACAGGTTTTGATGTTCTCCGCGCGGATTTGGGAAATCCATGCGCCGGAAGACACCGTTCACCCCGGGACATTGCCAGCGACTTTCGACCTCTGCGACGATTCGGTGTCGAGAAAGATGCTGTACATGTACTGCTGCGTACGAATCTTGTTTCCTCCAGCCATACCCTAGTCTGAGCAAGCCATGAACCGTTGCGAAGAGGTCCGTCATATGTGACAGCCTACAAGGTGATCGAATAACCTCGTCGCCCTCCCTAAAATGAGTTGTAGCCAACCTACAGATCCATTCGAGATCAGCATCTTTGAAGGCAAGTTGAGAATCCGCGTCTCACACCGCCAGCTACGATTGCTGATATTCGAAAATATTTCGGTGCAGCGAGCAGACAGGATTTCTTGCGCATTTTCCAGATCAAGCCGTAATCAGACCGCCCGACAGTAAAAGGTCGTTCTGCGGCCTTAGCGGCCAGCCCACTGAGAGAGTCCAGCTTGTGCCCAGAAAACTTAGCGACCAAAGAAATGGATTAACAGTCAACCAACACCGGCAACGAAGGTTTCCTAAAACCGTAATTATTAGAAGGTGTGCATCGAGGAAATGGTCCGTCCATCTCCCGCCGTAGAAGGCCCAACGGACACCGCGAGTGGGGCAGAACTTTGGTCCGGAAGGCCAACACAGTTTCCGGTTGAGGCTGCTGGCAGCCGGTGCTTCGACGCTGTTACTTCCACTTCCTTGTCTGCGAAGTAACAATCACCAAAAAAGTCGAAGGGCGGGTCAAGCGAATGATGCATTGCGCTAATTAGCCGGTGGTTAGGTTATGCCGCGTCCATACGGGGCTGGTGGCTCCTGCACACTGCAGGCAACGATTGGTCGTCCGCCCTTGCACTGCGACGGCCTGACAAATCCGAAGCTCCAAAGGTAATGATCGCTTGCTCGGGAGAAGCACAGTCCAGGTCTCTCAATTTGCTCGTTCATCGAAGCGGGGACAGCTGCAGCGCCTCAAAGTCAGGTGGGCCAACATAGTACTAACGTTAGTTAAACCAACGTCATTCTAGTTTTCACCACATCTCAAGACACAACCAACAGCTGATTTGTAACGCATAAGGACCGGTCTGCCGCACCTTTGGCCAATAGAGTCTAGCCCGCTCGTTTTGGCAGTCTTCGCGGTAGCAGCGGCGGTAAACTTTTCGTTAGCCTGGCGTGTGCAGTAGTCTGCTCAGGGTGGCACGCCAAATCCAAGCCCGTTGAGCGATAATGGGGAACATGCACAGTAGTTTCGTCTCAACTGCGCATCGTCTCAACTGCGCATCGTCTCAACTGCGCATCGTCTCAACTGCGCATCGTCTCAACTGCGCATCGTCTCAACTGCGCATCGTCTCAACTGCGCATCGTCTCAACTGCGCAACACAACCAGATGCAATCAAGCCTGGCTGAGTATGGAATACTTGACAATTCGCGTTGTTCTGGAAGGACTAACTGTATTTTTCACACCCACAGACGAATCGATCCTCAAATGCGCAGCATGCTCCACGTGCGATGGTACCTGCACGATCGAAATCGGATTGGTAATAGTGTATTGGAGGGAAGAGGTCAGGCAAGAAGTGACATTAGAAGCCGCGGCTCTACTAGACGACCTGGGTGGTGCTACGGCTCTCTCTATAGCTATCTTCCGTCCGATGAATCGGTGTCTCCAAGGCCAGGCCCTTCTCCAAAACCTCGATATATTGGTCCTGGAGCGCTATCAGGATGTATTGCCGCTTTCTGTCTCTTTCCAGCGTCTCTAACCTATCCTGAAGCATTTTGATCTCTTGCTCCACGGCGCTGAGAGCAACAGAAAGTTGGTTCATCTGCTGGGCTGGCGAATTTGAAAGGTCACGTTCGAAAACGGACATGCTGAAGATGGCTCTTGTGCGGACGGTGCGTCGAGAGAAACGCAGCCTGGCGTCGTCAGGTCGCAGACCTTTTGTACTTTTCTGATCTTCAACCGCCATAGCCAATGATGGGATGCAACGGAGATAGTTACCATAACAACAAACCATATAACCCCGGTTCGAAGAAGATCCCGCGATGCCACAGAATCCTTCTGCCTGGCCTGAAAGTCGTCAGTGAGGTCTGCTCCGCGACCTTTCTCGCCCAGTATTTTCAGTCGGATGGTTGTGTAGCGCTCGTCGCAGCGTTATCTGATGTCATATTGGGCTTCCCTGTTTCCGTTGCTTCCCGAGCCAGATTGTTACCCGATGTAGAAGGTTTCTATGTGTCTTGCGCGATTGTCGAACTATCGGTGGCCTAGGCTCGACTCGGCGACAGTCCTGGCTTAGTCGATTGCGTCTGGGTCTGAGTCGTATTTCTGATACCTTCTTGCTATTTGATCAAAAGTGGGGAGAAAGAGTGAATGCCAGAGATTGTGTAGTAGTATTCCGGAAGCAAGTTGATATTGTGGGCGCAGTAAGTGTAAGCATAACCGATGTGGTCAATATCTTCTATTATACTTTTGTTAACCTCATGAAACCTTTTGGCGCTACTGTTAGAATGTCTGGACACGCTATCAAGCGCCCCGGTTCGGTCACCCTACTTTAGTGATGCATCATAGGTGTCACAGATCGCGGCAGCAAGTCTGGGTCAGGCGGCTGATGTCGGGCAAGGAACAAAAAGCATTTTCTTACTGCGAGTATTGCACCCAATTCTCTGTCCATCGAATAGCAGATATAGTAGAAGGACGCTAAGTATCCCGACTGGTTTGAGTCACTCACGGCGTTGCGTAATTGAGGAATATTGTGTTTCGCATCTCTCAAGAGAAATCAAGCTCTCTATTTAGAGCTTATGAGCCTAGACTTTCAATTTGATAAAAAAGCAATAGGCATTATGATAGTCTGCATGGGAGATCGTGCCGAGATTACGGCGCCATCCTACACCCCAATCTCAAAACATGACACATGCAAACCACATTTCCTTTACTTCAAGACTGAGACAACTACTCGGTATATTAAGAAAACTTTTCGTCTCTGCAGCATATAGACTGACTTCCGTTCTTGTTCCAAAACTCACAGCAATGACTTAACGCATGGCCTCACACTCTACCTGCTATCACTCAGGCGCAATCGTCCCATAACTCCCCATCAGAACTTTCTTTACACTGCAGCGGGTATGTACAATCCTGCCAGCAGCCACGGAAAGATTGAGGTCGGCCTCGAACTATGCCGTTCTTTCCATACCCCACAATGTGCACGCATCTCTTTCTTTTCGCACCCTTTCTGTTCACGCAACAATAGTGACCATCGTATAGGCAACGATTTGTAACGATAGAAAGATATGCCTGGGAGCAGAAATGGCATACCCAGCTCAATGAGTGAGACATAACTGGCATGTCTACTCGCTCAGATGGTTTCTTAAGTAGTTTGAATCGTCAGACTATGAAGCAGTTACTGTCAGACTGCCCCAGGACATTCGTTACGGTACTTGTTTCGCCTCAAGCGACCTTACTCATGCTTAACCAGAAGTATGAATAAGACTAGCAAGGGTGTCCTTATACAAGGGGATCATACACTCACTATATAGATATGGGGTTTCTTCCCATAGCCATTCATTCGTCATACTCATCAATATACACACAATGACCCCTGCCTGTCTAACTGCTGCTCGATAACAATTATCATATCTCGCCTGACAAACTACGCAACCTTACAGATCAAACCAACCAATCCTCTGAGAAGGTCAGAGCAATGTAGAAGGGATGCATAGAGCTAGTAACAAGTAAGACCGAATGCACTGATGAGCATCGCGTAACCTCGCGTGTCCACTTCTATTCTGATGGTTCATATATTGCGAAGAAATTAAGCTCATATGCTGTCCTTCAGAACAGCCGCCGAGAGCAGGAGAAAGGTCAATATCTAGGTTATTATAGCCATACTCAGCAACATATGTATCGGAGGCCTCTTTTGTCTTTGCGCCCACATACGGGATGCGTGCGGCGGTGTTTGCCAGTTGTGCAGGTACTCTGAACTGCAGAACACCGATTTAGGGCTATTTCGGTGAATAGGCTTTCTGCGACCTCACTCCCTCGTGTTTCGGTACCATCACCCAGACTAAGAGCTTACACCAAAACGGAACCTGCCGTCGATTGACGCCAAAACTTGGCGAGATCCCATGCCACTGAAGGAACATTCAGTCAGCTTTTATGCCCTAAATTGCGATGCTGCTGGAGGAAAATGACACAACGGCGCGCTGCAGAAATAGATCGGGGTCGGATATCAACGACGCGTGCTGAGGAGTTTGTGCCCAAACACAAGCATGGCCGAAAAGGCGGGGGTTGGTAAGAAGTGGAAGGAGTGGAGAGAGTGGAGGCAATGATTTGCATGGGTGCGGTGCATTGAGGCCTATTTCGGCAGACGTTCAGCCACTGCGTGCTATTAATTCGCAAAAGGCATTGCTTATCAAGACAAATCATCGTCCGGATCGTGTGTATGGCGGGCATGGCATCTAGCTTATCGCGAAGAACCCTCTTGGATGATTAGTTTGAAGCATCAAGCTCGACTCTTTGGACGATGAAAGCCAGTATTGTTGCGTTGATAGATGAGATCTCAATTTGACTGGACGAACGTCATGTGGACCGTCTCTTCCTCTCTCGCTTCAACATCGATCCACCTTGTCATTAGCTACGATCTACGTGGAGAGAAACTATGAGAACCTCGGCCGATGAATACTCGCATGATTACACGAATCTAAGCTTTCTACCCCGAGCCCTGATTTACTCTCCTCTGACAGACGGTAGGCGGTTCCAATCGATACCAGTTATCCATAGATACTTGCATCACCCATAGCGGTACCTATGTACCCTGAGCTTTCGACTTCGAGGGGATGAACGTGTTCACCTCTCAGATTGGATATCCATTCACACTGTCTCCTCACCCTCGATTCAAGCCGATGGCGAGCTGACTATGTGGTGAAGTGGGCATTCCAGATGTCCTTACCCGAGAATGGCAATGGAACCGCTGGAAGTAGCTGCCCTAGAGCATGTTCCAACCGAGTCTGTGTCAGGTACCTCGCCTTTCAAGTTTGGGAGCCCCAAGCTGAAAAGTGTCAGCTGGGTTGATGCAGGCACCCCGGTTGTAATACGGGGCACAGCGACAGTGTCCAGAACTCTTATTTAAGCAAGCCTTTGCCCCCTCTCAGCGTGTCTTTGCTTTTCTCTCCCACTCTTTTCTCTTTGATTCTTACTTACTAGCCTACATCCCCATTGTCTTCAAACTCACACTATGGAACGTGCCAGAAATCCCACATCTATTCCCTCAATCACTTCGTTACGAGCGCAACTCGGCTACGTCAGCTGCGAGAAGTGGGGATACGACGAATTCACTACTAGTACTCGGCAGTTTCTCGATAGATTCACAATCGAAGGCTGGAAAGGCCGCCTAATTCACGAATGGAATTCCGAAAAACATCAAGACCTTCTTAAGAAGATGGTGATATCATACCTCGATGATGATGGAAATGGGAAAACGATTCTGGCCTGACAACGAAATCGGAAGACTGCAGTATTCTACGCATCAAGAGAAGTGAGCAATTCAAATCGATTACAAGAAGGCTCGAAGCTAAAAGATTCATAGAATAAGAAAAAAGATGCAGCAACTTTTCTGGCGATTGAATTTTCAATGGCATAAATATCAAAAAGGAAAAGAAAACAAGAGTGCGAGAATTGTCGACACAGGAAATGGAAGTGGCCTTAGCCACGAAGATCCCATTGATGTGGATGCTCTCGAAGACAGTCCTCGAGAGGCCGGTTCCGCAGAAATGCCCAGTAGCTCAAAGTATGTGATCATTCGCCCCCCTTTCGTCTACACCTCAGCGCTGATATGCTATAGCTTAACCGCATCGCTGGAATTTTTCAACCATCCGCATCATAACAATTCAAGCCCCATCGATCTTGAATTGTTCAAGGCTCAACAAAGCTTGCCGAACGGGCGTGAAGTTGATGATCGAGGACTCCAGACTCTGGAAACCAAGGCGCAGGTCAGTTCGCTGAGAAAATACAAGTACGTGAGATGAAGATATCCGTCATTTTCTAAACCTATGTAGGGCCAGAGCGTCTTCGCAAGCATGTCGTCGATCGTTCCAGTCGACGATCGTCAATGTGCTCCCTACACCCACATTGCTCCTGAGATGCGAATGCTTCAACAAAGGATCACCGACGGCAATGGCTCCTCATCACGAGTGCTGCCAGCTGAATCGGCGTCCAAAGCACTACATTCAACTGTTGCCTTGAAAATGGCCGACAGAATTACTTCCTCGGCAGTTGTCAGACGCCAAGGAATCACAGAGACTGGCGTTCAACAGCCAGCCATCACCAGCCAAACTCCTCACACTACATCAGTGCAACTGTCGCCGCTTAAGGCTCCGTACCGCGAGATCAATTGGCAGCTAAAACACCAATGCAACACTTGGGACAGGGAAAGCTCGTCAACCGTAAGGAAAGTGAAAGAAGAGGATGATAAGGGCCCAGTGGATTACAGCGACACAGAACTTGAAATAGCGGAAGTATTGAGTCTCATGAGGGCCGGCAATGTCGGTTCTCTGTCGAAATCATCTCACAACTTCAACACTGACCCTAAGATTCAAGTTCTTCCTTCTGTCGAAGCAGAGACGTCCTTCTCGGTGCATCCACCAGGGCCAAGGTACGGTCATCGCCCCGTGCGCGAGCCGCACAATCAAGCGAGGTGCCCATCGAATCCCCCGACAGAAGGCCCAAGTGGAAACGAAATGACTAAACCAGCCAACGACAGCAGAGTTCCAGTGAACGGGAGGTGGTCCGGCGTCGAGAGCAATTTCTTGGAACAAGAGCCCACCAAGGTCGTACAACTGCTATGTGCACTTATCTCTGACAACCGGCCAGCACTCGCTAGCTCGCAAAAGCAAGTCGTCCGCGCCACGGAGCCTGTCATGAAGACCACATCGATTCCTTCAATAACTCAATTACGAGAGAAACTCGACTACGGCGACCGTAACTTGTCTAGATGCAAGGCATTATATGAAAGTGCTCGGACCTTCCCAAAAAGCTTCAAAACGAGCCAAGGCTGGGCAGGCAGCGGACTTCGTGACTGGGAACATGAAGAACAACGAAATGCTCTGATGGAGATGTCTCAATTCTACCTCAAAGATCGTGGCCATGGTCAGATATTCTGGCCGGATGACCAGAAATCACCTCGAGCGAACAGATTACAGTATTCTACTCATGGCGAGGAGTAAGCTATTTAAGAATTTTGCGACCAGTGCTTGGTACTAATAGATTTGAAGAATCAAGCAAACGATGCAGCAATATTTCTGGCGGCTGAATCTCCAACGGTTTCGAAGTGAGAAGTACGGCAAAAACAAGAAGAACGCGAGACTCGTCAAAACGGGAGACGGAAATGGCCTTAGCCACGAATATCCAATTGACGTTGATGCCCTCGAGGACAGGTCTCGCGATGCCAATTCTGCGGAGATGCCCAGTAGCCCAAGGTCCGTGATCATTTACCCAGCTTTATTACACATCTCAGTGCTGATATGCTACAGCTCAATCACATCTCATGAACCAGCCATCCACCGACAGCACATAGATTCGAGCCTTATCGATCCTGAATTGTTGAAGGCTCAACAAAACTTGCCGAACGAACGTGGAGTCAGTGCCCAAGGCACCGGCGTGACCGGAGATTCCCTTGTGTGATACTTCCGTAAGAAACTGCGAATCAACATCAGCCTTCGTTACCTTAAGTACCCTTTCTGACTCTCTTCGCCCTTAGCAGGATGCCAACCCCAGACCAGACCAGCCCCAGAGATTACGACAGTCTCAACCAGCTTTCGACTCTCCGTCAGCGCACGAGAAGAATCGGAAAGACCCAGAAGCTCAAGCTCAAGAAAGAGTGCAGAGCAAGACTACAAGGCTGCGCGTCCAAGATGGATACAGCCAAGTACATTCAGCGGCTCCAGAATGATTCTGACTGGACCAAATGGTTCAACAGTCTCAGGATGGTAGCCATAGTGCATGACGTCTGGGACTACATTGACCCAGATCAGGCAGTGGTAAACACTAAACCACAGCCTAACTATCCAGACGAGGTTTCCCTAGCGAACTTTAGCAATCTTCTCAACCTTGAGAAAGCTAAGTTTGACATCCGAGAAAGGGAATACAGAAGGGTTCAGCAGAGCCTCAACGATGTCCTTAAGTGGATGATTTCAACCTTTGACGCCCAGCATATGAACCAAGTCAGCAGACACGGCAATCTCAGGGAGATGGTCAAGTCTCTGAAAGAGAATCTTGCTCCAAGCAGTCAGGCAAGACAAGAACTTGTCAAGAGGAGGTATACCCTCCACCTTGGGTCCATCAAGAGACAGAACATTATGGACTGGCTAAACACCTACCTGGACATTATGGAGGAAGCCAGGGTCCTGGAGATAATTTCAATGAGCGACCCAAGGGAACAGGTCAGAGACCTCCTACGAGCTGTCAAAACAGTCGCTCCAGACTGGGCAACCCCAGAAGCCCACCAGATGGCGAAGAAAACTCTTGAACAGCCAAAGAAAGGAGAAAGATGGCACGGAGCCATCGTTGCAGGCGAGTTTAGAAACTGGATTCGCACTGAGCAGCCAGACTGGCTAGAAGGAAAGGCTAAGACAACAAGCTTCGCTACATGGCAGGGCCGGAATGAGGAAGACAAAAGAGGAGGGAAAATAGACTCAAACTGGAAGCCAGAGTGTCCAGCTTGTCCAGGTCAGAAACACTTCGCTGAGACCTGCCACCATTTCAACCCCGCTAGAAGAAAGTCGACCTACGATCCGAATGTGAACAGTAACAAGAGAGCAATTGAGCGAGCCCAAAACTTCCTCAAGGAAAACCCAAGAATTCAAACGAGAATCGACAAGTTCAACGAAAGGACTAGCCAGAAGGCAGCCCATCCAACATCGTCCTACTTGACACGGGAAGGAGAAGAGTCAGACGGATCGATTTCGTCGTCTTTCTTCAATGAAGAGACGAGGATCCCAGCAGCCAGCCTATTTTCAGGATCCCCATTGAAGAGCAGTGTGATTATCGACTCAGGAAGCCCCTGTCACATTTGTAATGATTTTGTTGTTGTTGTTGTTGTTGTTGTTGTATTTAACGCCATGGCGGAGGGACCTAGGCCCTTACCGCAGACCTCCCGAAGGGTATGGGGCGTGGAGGGCCGTGAGCCAAGGCTACCTACTCTACAGTACGTCGTCTCTTTACATCGTCCTCCAAATCATGCCTTGTGGCCACTACGCGTTCTATCTGTCCCCGGTTCCCGCTGGTGCCCCAATTTCATTCTTTCCTAAATCGTCCCTTGGAATCGGGAGGTTCTTTGTAGTCCGCACTCACACCTACGTAGGTGTGGGTGCTGCTACCGCGGACAGATCTTCTGGAAGAAGCCCGTCACGCGGAGGAAGGCCTCGAAGCCTCGTGGGTCGGTGATTAATCTCTTGAAGTAGGCCTCGAGAGATCCCATAGGGCCTATGGGCTCGGGCATACTGCGAGAATGGAGGGTCGGCCACTGTTGCCTCCTCGCCAGCGTTGTGGTGCAGGTTTGTAGCGGCGGTCCGCAACTTTTTTCCACGAGAACGGGAATAACGGTTTTGGGGTTGACCTTTGATCGCAACGCAGCATGCCCGCAAAGATCAATACAGCCGAACCCCGCCGCATCAACAGCACAGCCCAACCAGGTAGAACTAAGGCAGAACAACAGGCAAAAATGCGGGGTCCTAAGACAATTATCACGAGCGCCGCCACATCTCTTTGCGAAGCGCGACAAGTCGTCAGCCGGGGACGCAAAAGGGAAAAACGTGGAAATGAGACAAGTTTTGGTAAATGAAGAATTGTCGCCACTGACTTTCTCTCCATTCTGGTTCTCGACACATTTGATTCGTTTGCTTTGCCCTCATGACACTAGTCTGAGGTGATCCTTTAGCTCGGCACCTGGTGCATGAACAACCTGGCGTGTGCGTTTGCTCCTGTTTAATTTGCTGAAGTGGCGTCGATGTCAGCTCGGTCATCGAGATCCAACGAATCAGCATGCTTGGCCAACACTTAACAGTGATCAACCAGTCAGACCTCATTCGAGTGTGCGTCTCGTCAAGTAGATCGGTTCAATACTTGTAAGTGACTGACATATGCCAGAACTGTGAGGCGGTTCGTAATGGTATGCAATGGGGGAAACCATTTAGATAATGAGGTGATTGTCGTCTTGCAGATGATAGCACTTTTAAATCTTTCACACCCAGTAACTAAGGAGAACAGCTCCCTTCCACAGATGGATAGAAGCCGAAAATGAGGAATTGAATCCCGGCACTCTCGACTAAAACAGACTACAATATAGGTCGAGTCAATACATCATGCGCCGATACAAAACGAGTCCAGCTCTATTCGATTACACCCAATGCGATGTAGCGACAGGAAATTGGAGCCTGGGTCGAAAGCTATTCCTTAGCTATTATGACATCGGCTCTTCAAAAGCTATAAGGAGCTGAGCCACTTTATTGATTTGTGGGCCGATCAATGGTCTGAGATAATGAGCCGGGTAGCGAGAGAGATTTCTCTGCGTAAGATGTTGTAAAATCAACAAATAGGTCAACAACCGGCAGTATCATCTAGGAATCAGTTTTTTGGCATATGGTATGAAGTGTCAAAGTAGAGCAGAGAGAAGCCCTCTTATTCATGTGCTTCTGTCACATTGTGACTGAAAGACTTTTTCATGACAAAACATAACTGAAATAAAACGTCGGTTGACTAAGGGCCGGTTGAAGTGAAAGCAGCTGTCGGCATTTAAGTCCCCGTCCCCCGTCTAAGTTTCCGCACAACTTTGGAATATTCTTGTACAACAGGTGCTAGATGAGGGTGCCAACATCGCAAAGAACGCTACTTCACAATTATGGATACCGACGAGAAATCGCAAACGCTGGGTTCCTCATCGCGACCGATCTCATCACCTCTCAGCCCTACCTCTGATTCAGTCACCATCACTTTGAAAGACTTGGGCCCTAGTACCAGTGCTACGTTGGCCCGATTTTGCAACGATTCAGACACAGTAGCCAAAAGCTTTTGGAAGTGCCGTATCGCCGACTACAGTCCGTCAGGTATTTTTCCCAAAAATGGAATCGCCAGCTTCCTACTGGACACAGACGACGACACGTCTAGAGTGGATTTCTACATGTCGGAGATCAAGCCTTTGCGGCGGGGAAACGCTGTGTTTCACTTACAATACGCTTACACCGCATATTGTCGCCCGAAGGTGGTTTCGTTCACAAACTACGCGCCCGCAGTTCTTAATAACAACAACCTCTTCTCAGCTGATGCGCTACGAAGACGCACAGCCATGCACGGCCACTACTATGTTGGCGACTGGTCTTGTTTGCTTAGTAAGCCATCTTCCTTGTTGAGTTGCGGTCCTCAGCTTAAAAGCCTCTTTGTGAACGATGCCAAGCCAGGCATCACGACGCCATATCTGTACTATGCGAAACATGCACTCACTGGAAGCGGCATGCATATAGAGGATCTCGCTGTACCGTCAATCA